TACGGGTATTTGTATTACTCATATTTGTTGACATACGCTATGTAAAGTTATGTAAATGACAATTATTATGTTATATATGTATAACAAAATACACTTCACGTTGCTGGAACATAGACAATACGAGTACATGGATATGTCAGTGAATATAGGTAGTACAAATATTTATATAATACAGTCCGGGTACTCATACATTCGGGTATTCCCCGCATGTTCGGATAGTGAAAGGGTATCCAGGTATGCGGATATCTCATTATTTGATTCAAATTATCATCTAATATCGACATTATGTAGATATTGACATCCACGTGATGTTCTTCGGATGAGGTGTGATATATGGATATTTATGCTATGCATAGCAATATCTATGCTTCTGAATAATATAATATATAAGTTAAATATTTGTATTATGTCTCAGATGAATAGTCGAGATGAATTTGCATTATCAACTATTGCAAATTCAGTAAGAGGGGCTATTCGACAAGAACGATCTCAAATTATGCAAGCTACCAGAGAAAATTTTAGACCATTTCGATTATCCAAGTCCAATCAGAAGTCCAAGAGGCCGGCCAAAACAATCAGTGAAAAAATTCACTCTTTTCTTATTACGCAGATCAAATGCAGATTATTATCCATGCGTGACTGAATGTTCTTATTTACAAGAAAATGGATTCGGTAAGATATTACACAATATAATTTTAAATTAAAAACTTAATAATTAATTTAATAATTAATAATTAAAACAATTATTATTATTAAAGATTATTTAAGATTATTTTAATAATAAACATGAAGATTTCTTATTATTGGCAGGTAAAAAAATTATCGAATTTGAACTCAATTGGTCAATGAGTAGAGTCCAGAGATATATTTGTGAAATTTATTCAAAAGTACAATTAGAATCAGTTGGATTTCGTTTTGGCAAATGCGCCAGAGACAAGAGAATTACATTGTTAGCAGTGGATACACTTGAAGAATTACTGAATGAAGTGCCTAGAGGAACAATTATTATTATCCCAAATAGAGATTTGTCTTGTTTTTCTGATCATACAAACGATGCAAATATTGATACTTCATACGAAAGATCATCGATAGAAGAGTTTTCATCGATGGAAGAGTTAAGATATAACAGACACAATAGACTTACTATCAGAAGACACTCTTTACAAACACAAGCAAACTCTAGACAAGAATCAAGCAATAATGAATCTGATGATAATTATCAAGACATGCAGGATTACAATACGAGAAATAGACGAATTATAAGAGAGTCTGTAGATATAAATTCTCGATTACAACAAAATAACGATGGATCTGATGATTTTCAAGATGTTCAGAATGAGAGCAGATTAATCAACAGAAGAATATCTTATCAAAATGATCAAAATGATCAAAATTTAAGTAAGTTGTTAATTATTTGACAAATATATAAATAAAAATTAAAATAGCAAGTTGAATTTTTTTATTATACAAATAAAGCTTTAATTAAATTGTAAGAAATTTTTCTATAATAATTTTTTAATTTTCTATAATAATTATTTTTCTATAAAAACGAATAATGATTAATATCGCATGATAATTATCGCATTGTTTTTTTATCGCGCGGCAAGTGTTTTTGTGTCCTATGTGCAAGAGCCATATTAACAAGTACTGCCAAGTTTCTTTCTCTTACAAATGTATTTGTTTCAGATTCATTGGATTTGGACAATTTCTCATATATTCCAGAAGCAAACCAAGAACTTACTGATGAAATTGAGTATCCTGATTTACCTAATGAAGAAATAAGTATAGATATTATAATCACAAGAGAAAATATTATCGAAGAAATGCTGAGCTTATATAAAGATGAAACAATAGTACAGAAACAGATCAAAGTTGCTTTTAAAGATGAATTAGGATTAGACTATGGTGGCTTAACAAAAGAATTATTTTCCGAGTTTTGGAAAAAAATTATACTTGAATTCTTTAGAGGAGAGAATTGGTCAGTACCTTACTTATCTTTATCAAAAATAAGAAAAGGTTTAGATGAAAATTTTCCAATCATTGGTAGAATTTTAGCTCATACCATTATTTTAACAAAATCAATTCCCACAAATATATGTAAATCCGTATATTTAAAATTAGGTTCGCTAGATAAAGAAGTAAAGCAAGACATGTTATTAAAAGATCTTTTTCATTATTTAACACCAGTGGAACAAAAATTAATATACAAAGCAAAGAATTCTTTTGAAGACTTAAACGATTCTGAAAAAGATATATTATTAGACCTGTTTGCGACTTACGGACTTTTAGAAAATCCAAAAAATTCAGAAATAAAAGATCAGCTTAGCATTGTAACGGCGTGGCCGTTACTAACGCCTCGCGGGCCGATCACCCGCCCGCCACTCGAGGCTATGGCGCCTAAGGCGCCCCTAAAACACAAAGTGATACACGGGTCACCCTACCCCAGAGGCGCCCCACTACGACGCCGGCACGTTACCCCCACCACAGCCTCGATGCAGAGTGGGGGAACCGCCCGCAGGGTATATAAGCCGGCTCGACGGATGAGCCGGCACCAGTCCTGTTCCGGACCTCCTAGCCAGGCAACGGGCTTCTCGTTGTTACGCCGGGTTTCTCGGTTTCTGGCCTCCTACCTTTAGTATCGGGCAACGGGTTTCTCGTTGTTACGCCGGGTTTCCCGGTTTCCGGTCTCTTCCTGCTATACACCGGGTGACGGGTTTCTCGTCATTACGCCGGGTTTCCCGGTTTCCGGTCTCTTCCTGCTATACACCGGGTGACGGGTTTCTCGTCATTACGCCGGGTTTCCCGGTTTCCGGTTCCTCCTGCTAACTTCCGGGCGACGGGCTTCTCGTCGTTACGCCGGGCTTCCCGGTTTCCGGACACCGATATAGGCTATATGCCTCAGTACGTTCGATCTCCAGATTTCGCATACCGGGTGACCTGTAAGTCCTTTCCGGACACCGCTACAGGCTATACGCCTCCGTACACCGTATCTCTAAGTTATACCGGGTAATTTGTAAGTCTTTTCCGGACACCGCTACAGGCTATACGCCTCCGTATTTTGTTTATACCGGGTAGTCAATAAGTTTCTCTATTCAGGCTTTATGCCAACGAACATTTTGTTTACTTGTTTCTTTTTGAATAAACCAAAGCATTGTTAATAAGGAATAAGCGAGTCTGAATCTCCCCCTTCCTCCCGAATCCTGGAACCGGCGAGCCGATCCGCGGCGTCAGGAAAGGTGAACCGTTACAGCATTATAGCAGTAAACGTTTTATGCATAGAAAGTCATAATTTTATTAAAAAGATGAAAGATGGAATCCCATTATTTTGTGAAAATTTTTTTACAACTTTAACTGATTCTAAATTAAATTTTATATTTGAACAACAAGTTGCTAATTCTAATAAAGTTGTAACAGTTCTAAAGGCTGATCCAGAAGAATTGAATAATATTCAAACTCGAGTCTTTTACTTTCTCAAAACATATATAAAAAATTTGACACAAGAAAATCTTTCAAAATTTTTAATCTTTGTAACTGCATCGCTACACTTGCCTGATAAAATAATTGTAAGTTTTAAAACATCGGGTTATCCTGTAGCCCATACATGTTCGAATACCCTGGAATTGTCAACAACTTATTCTTCTTATCAAGAATTGAAAATTCATTTTGATTCAGTTTTAGAAAATGAATATTCCTTTCAGTATACTTTTTTATAAAAGTATATTGCAAAAGTATATTTTTATAATATTTTTTAATATATGTTTTATCTTTATATAAGTATAAAATATATAATTTAATATATAAAATATTAATTTTAAAAAGTATATTTTTATAAATTTACTAAAAGTAATTATAATAATAAGCAAGATGTATTCCGTTAAAATACTATTAACCAAATTATTTAAACTCGTTGCAATAACATATGTCTGCTTCTGCTCTATTGATAATATTTCGATTATGATTATAATAAGATATTATTTCTATCTATCAAAATTATTGTTCACAATATTAAATGTATCATCGTTAATCATACTATGAATCCTCAAGTTCTATTTTCAAAAATTATTTATGCTGCAAAAATTCTTTATTTTTAATCAGTTTAATAGATTCTAAGACCCATGTTCTTAGTTTATTTTTATCAATAAAGGGGGTTTTAAGCATATGATACTATATAAAACATACATATAAATATAAATTTGCTTAAAAGAACATTTATCGATAAAAATGAGTTGAGTTGGGTCTTTATTCTGTCAATAATGAAAAGAACATCGTTCAAATTATTATTTATTTTTATTATTATTTAAATAAATCACATTTTATTTCACGTTGTATATATTATACATTTTCAAGATAGAAACCTATTATATATTATGTATATATATATTATGTGAAACATATTTTATAAATTTAATACATTCTAAAATGATTTTTGTGTTTTAAAGAACAAGTTGCTAGTTCAGATAAAGTTGTAACTGTTAGAAGAGTTGAACAAAATTTAATTCTGAAGTGCATTTTCTATTTAAGAGAGGTTGCTAATCCAGATAAAGTTGCAACTATTCTAAAAACAATTTCAGAAGAATTGAATAATATTCAAACTCAAATTTTATTTTTAAAAACTTATAAAATATTTAATACAAGAATTTTTAGATATTATTTGAAACTAGTTTACAATATTAAGTTTATATTACTATAATTTTTTAATACATACATCACATAAGTTTATATATAATCTCTTATAATATTGAGTTTATACTATAAGTTTAACTATAATTTTAACACTACATATGTATCTTCAGCTTGTTATAATCATACAATATATGTAAAAAAGAAAAAATTTTAATTTTATTACTTAAAAACTTATATGTATATGTGGAAAGAAGTATTTAATATAATTGTTTTATTTAATTAATTATTTCATTTAAAGTATTTAAATATGTTACTATTTGCAAATACTTAGACTTATAATCATATCATTTAATATATTAATTATATAATTCATTCGCTCTTCACTAAATTCTAATTGAACAGTTAAATTAGAATTGCTTTCTTCATCATGATTAATAATCACAATATCTAAGTCATCTATTCCAAAAGCATCAATAACTCTATTGTATAAGTGAGGTTGGTTCTGAAAAATTTCACGGACAGCAGTATGTTCACTATTGACATTTTTTAGCATACCAGACAACCAAAGTTGCCTAGGAGTTCTATTTCGTTCCGTTCTTAACTTATGAAAATTCCACGCTTGTGTAAAATCATCCAATTTTTTATTTATATATGTTAAATAAACTTGTAATGCAAATATATGTTTTTCGTTATTAATATCTAATAATCTATCTTCTTCTAACATAGTAAATTCATTATGAAAAAAATCGCCCACTTCTTTATATACGTCTACCCATAATCTCTCTATACGTTTTACGATTATGCACCGAACGACCCGTCAAATGACTTCCTCTGTTTAGTCCATGAATAGCATTCATAACCATTGCAACAAATAAGTTTTCATATCCAAAATCTGATCTTACTCTGGATGGTAAGCCATATTGTACTGCGCCGGTAGCAAAAAATGGAATTACTGTGCTGGCTGTCATTGAAGTAGTGCACTTTAAGTATATAATTAATCGTGAATATCCGTCTATACATCCATGAATAGCAAATCGCCATCTAAATGAAATAAAATTTTAAGCAACAAAATTAAGTTTTTAATACAAACTGTTTCAAGTTTTTTTATACCGTATCAGCTTTAAATTCGCATCAATATGCCTTAAAGAATTGGGTGTTGGCACTTTATATGTTCTGCGATGTATCGCATTACTCCATCTACAAGCAGTACCAATAGGATCAATTTCGGCTAATATCCTTCTAACCCTTTGCCTTTGAATTATTTTTCCTTTAACTTTTAAGTAAGCTGTTATCATCTGCTCAAAATAGTAAAATACTATCGTAAAATAGTTTAAAATTAAAAGTTTAAAACTGTAAACAAAAACATACATTACTCCCGCTATTAGGATATTGAGCATGTAAATCCGAAATCTCCCGATTCAATTCTGCGTCACTACCATTATAATACTTATTTCGTATTTTAATACCGAATGAATAACATTTTTTATATACTAGCTTTGTAGAACAACCGAAATGCTTAGCCATTTCTTTTGCAGTATAATTTTCTTGTATTAAAAATTCTAACTGTTCTCTAGTTATATGGACTTTGGATCTTCCTCTACCTAGAAAACAATGTTTATATATAAGAATGCTATTATATTAATACTATTATTATTTTAAGTACTAAACTTACCTAAATTATTTAATCTTGGCGCAACATAAGATCTGCTGCTGTTATTGATATTTTGATTGCAGTTATCACATATTTGTTTTAAATTATCGCAACTATTATTTAGAGTATTGAATGTATCATCACTTATCACATTACGAATTCTTAGCAAGTTGTTTCTGCCTTCCAAAATTATTTGTGCAGCTGCAGAAAACTCCTCATTTTCAATCAATCTGATACTCTCAATAATAAGAAGAACGTCATTTAAATTTCTATTCATTTTTGTTTACAAATTAAGTAAACTATAAACGTGTATGTTGACAGAGAGAAGACTGTGTTGACACTTTGACACATGTGCGAAGAAGGAAAAAGGTTATAAATAAATATATATATATATATATATATATATATATATATGTATATATACATATGTATAACAATCCCGCCAACGCTGACTAGTGTAGCCAACTAATGCCTAGGGAACTTATTTATTGCAACAGTGATACCAACTAAAGCCTAGGGAACTTATTTATTGTAACAGTGATACCACAATTTAAGCAATACACGACTGTTGCGTAAAATATTTATTCAATTCAACGATGATTGTATAAAAGTAGTATTTTTTTTACATTATAGCGATAATTTCAAAAAATACTGATATTTAATAAAATTAATTTTTACAATGAAATGACAAATGTAAAAAATAGTTAATTTTTGTAATACTTTAATGATTGAAAAAAATAAACAATTTTTGCAATACAAAAGGATTTTATATGCCAATATCTACAATTATTGCAATTATCAATTTTTTGCAATGCTCTACGTATTGCAAAAATTAATAATATAAAAAACGTTGCAATATATTAAGATATTCTCAGAAACTTATTTTTACATTTGCTTCTGAAATGCTAAAATAAAATATCGTAAAAAATTTTTTTATTTAGTAAATATTTACGTTATATTAGTAGTTACTTTTTTATGTCGAAGTATTAATAAAAATAAAACTAGATTATTTACACATTAAAAATATTTTAATAAAATTTGTATTATTTATTGTTTAAAGTTTAAGTCGAATTTGTGTAAGTAGCAATTTTTACACCTATACGGTGAGCCATATTACTATTAAATAATTTTTTCTTTAGACTTTTGCTATATTGAATAAATAGCAAAACGGCGTTCCATATCATTCGCTCCTTCCGCTTTGCGGCGCGCCGTGTATCGTGTTACAGTAGGACGTCTCTTCTCGTCGCGCGCTTCTATTCGCGTGGATTGGCCGATCTTTTTTACTTAATAACTCAATAATTATTGCGAAAATCGCAAAACGGTAGAGGACTTTCCTATTCGGTTTAATTCACTTTATCTGCACATGATGGTTGAGGCGACAATTACCGGACACCCTATATATATATATATATATACACAAATTCGACTTAAACTTTAAACAATAAATAATACAAATTTTATTAAAATATTTTTAATGTGTAAATAATCTAGTTTTATTTTTATTAATACTTCGACATAAAAAAGTAACTACTAATATAACGTAAATATTTACTAAATAAAAAAATTTTTTACGATATTTTATTTTAGCATTTCAGAAGCAAATGTAAAAATAAGTTTCTGAGAATATCTTAATATATTGCAACGTTTTTTATATTATTAATTTTTGCAATACGTAGAGCATTGCAAAAAATTGATAATTGCAATAATTGTAGATATTGGCATATAAAATCCTTTTGTATTGCAAAAATGTTTATTTTTTCAATCATTAAAGTATTACAAAAATTAACTATTTTTTACATTTGTCATTTCATTGTAAAAATTAATTTTATTAAATATCAGTATTTTTGAAATTATCGCTATAATGTAAAAAAAATACTACTTTTATACAATCATCGTTGAATTGAATAAATATTTTACGCAACAGTCGTGTATTGCTTAAATTGTGGTATCACTGTTACAATAAATAAGTTCCCTAGGCTTTAGTTGGTATCACTGTTGCAATAAATAAGTTCCCTATATATATATATATATATATATATATATATATACCCAGATAACACAAACACTTTCTATAAACATTCTATAAATATTTGTCGAGAATATTAAAATATTCTTTCAATGTACTAGAAGATGTTTTATAAATGTACACAAAACGTTGAAATGAGACCAATTTAAATATTCTAGATAAAGTTAAAAGAATATTCTTTATCATATTCAAAGAATATTCAAAGAAGATATTTAGGACAATCTAAATGAATATTTATGAAATATTTCAGAACTAATATTCTAAATTTTTATGCAAATACGCATATATATGTTGATAGAAAGGAAATAAAAATGAGAGCAACAGAATAGGTTTGATCATATATAATAAAAATATAATTGTGATATAATTTATATATACAATATATATATATTTGAAAGAAAATAATTTATCAAATACATATAAATATATATATAATTATATGTAACTCTCTATTACAATTATATTATTTTTATTATATATTATAAAACATATTTTGTGTTCTCATTTTTATTTCCTTTCTGTCAACATATGTATTTGCATCTAATCTGATTAATCGATGATGTGTAATAATAAAAACTTGTATGCGTAATATAAATTTTAACTTTTCATTATATCTATATATTAGTATTTATTTCATATACATGTTAGTATTTATTTCATGTATACATACGTGTTAAACATGTTATTAAAAAAAATTTATACAATAAAAAAAATTTGTGCAATAAAAAAAATTGTATAATAAAATACCTATAAGTATTGCACTTAGATAAATGTTTCATAATACTCTATTATAATAATGCTATAATAAATACTAATGTTATAATAATAATTATTATAATAACAGTGTTATAATACTGTTATAACAAAATTCCATATTGCACTCTTAATATATAGCGCTTATTGTTTTCTTGCCTGTTTAGCATTTCTAAATTTTGCTTTTACAAGCCATGCCTTCATAATTGTTTCAATTTCGTTTAATGTTATTGTATTGTTTTTTGCACTGCTTCTGTAAAATAAATTTTATGATATAGTTTTACATATATGTATATATGCATGTGTATATTATAAAATAATATGTACAAATTAAATTAATACTCACTTATTATAGCAGCAGAAATACGTAGTAAAGAAAATTTATTTTTTCCTTTAAATCCTATCCAACTATATTGTTCTGCCACTTTATTAGAAAATAATTGAATCATTATTCTTTTAATAGTATGTTTATACGTAGCTCCACCAATTTTTGATAATTCAATCACCTATTAATGTAAAATAATATATTTATAAAAATATTTATAAAAATTTTATTTTTTTTATATAAATTCTATTTACAAGCATATTAGTATTGTTTTCGTCCGTCAAATACTCTTCTATAGCATTTAATTCGCTAATGTTTTTCAGAGGAAAATCAAATTTTTTTAAAATACTATTTTCATCATCATCTCTTATTAATATTCTATCCTCTTGTGATCCAATCTTTCTTAAAATTATTTGGATATCTTCACATATTTGCGATTGTTTTAAATTAATAATATTTAATTGACGTAAGACTTGTCGTTTGAATGCAATATCTAAAAGAAATTTATAAAGTACATATTATAGAAAATGTTCAATTAATAATAGCATTTCGGTACTTTGGGTGTGTGTGTATGTGGTGTGTGTGTGTGTGTGTGTATGTGGTGTGTGTGTGCGCGCGCGCGCGTGTGTGTATGTATGTAAGTACAACAAAAGTTACTAAAAATACTTTACCATTCCAGGTTCATCAATATAACGAATATTTTCCTTAATTGTATCATCCTTAGAATACTGAGTTATATTTTTTTGCATGTTACTTGTAATGTTTACAGGTTTTACTGCATTTTTTTTATTGCTATCGCGAATAATCTTTTTTGCATTTGTTCCAAGTGGTTTCGCAGTTATGCACATATTCGCATCTATTTGTAAAATAATATTTAAAAATTTTTATTTTTAAAGATATATTTATTTTTTAAATTATATGTACTTATTTTTAAAGATTATATATATATATATATTATTTATTTATAAAATGTTTTTTTTTAATTCAGAATTGAAAAAGTATACCTGTACAATCAGATATAACAGGAAAGTGTATCGAACATCCATCTTCATTGTTCAATGAAATTTCAGTAAATGATACATTTTGTGCTTCACTTGTACTGATGAGAGATTTTTTTTGTGTCTTATTTATTTGTTCCTCGAGATTAGTATCAAAATCCTTTTCTTGTACTTTATTTATTATTTTACATGAAGGTCCTGGATTCATGCGTTTATTGACGTCCTTTTCTAAAACAAAATTATTTTATTTTATTTTTTAAAAATATTTATGAGTGTCTCATAACACGCATTACATCTTTCATGAGCAGAAAAAGTTCTGTAACATTTTGTAATGTTTGTAATAATTAAAATGTATACATTCATTCGCAGATCTTTACATAAATTAATTTCTTGTTAATTATTGCAAAAATTGCAAAATATTTTTCTAGTCAATTTAATCCATGTTTTTTACTGCACGAGTAGTGTGCTATTCCTTTATCGAACACTCTGTGTGTATGCGTGTGTACATTGCATACACACAGGATGTCTAATGAGATGTGTGTGTAAAATATTTTTTACATGGATTTTGAAAACTTACTTGTGTTATCAGAATCAGGTAGAGTAGGAAAATCTGCTGAATTTGAAATTTCATCATCCGATGAACTTTTATTAGTTGATGAACTTTGTGATTCGTTTGTATCATAAAGATATTTTTTCTTTTCCGAATTCTTTTTCTTTCAGGATTTGATGTCAAATCTGATGTGTCTTCTGCTGTACACGTCTTTGCTCTTGCTTTTACTAAATCATCTATAACGAAAGAATGCAATATATAGTATGCGTAATAATTACTTATAAAACAAAAATAAATATGACAACTAAATGTTTTATAACAAATTAATTCTTTAAATATCATTTACTATAGGTACGTCCACTTCCCACTTTTCGAATTTTAAATAATGGCCATACACCGAATACTGGTTTTTCACATACTGCGACAGAATGAATTAATTTTTTGCCAGTGTACCAGTGTACGGTGGCCAATAACACATATCATCATGCACCCATGCGACCGGTACAGCTTCGACTAAATTTTCTTCTATAAAATGTACTACTATCCACTCCATTGGGCAACTATATATCTTATATTCTTATTGTTAGTCTGAAGTCGAAATAATTACAAAACTCTTTTCATTCTCATTTGGTTAACAAAGCTTAACATGCAACACACTTAATAATATTTAATATACTATAACTACTTATATAATATTTAATATAGATTTCTTCTCAATATCGTATTTACATAAGATATATACATTTACACATTTATATTATTAACATAATGTATGAAGGAGAGGAAACACAGCATAAGTATTATTATATGGGAAAATTATCATTTTGTTGGAAATATCTTCCACTAGTGACATAGATAATTCTCCAAGTTCATGTACTGAAAATATATCAAAATTTGAAGATTGAAATGCTTCAGAAATAAAACTTGTTATATTAATAAATTTTTTCCCAATTATGAAGTACTTATTATCTTTTATAGCAAAATTTTCTATCAACATAATACTCTTATCTTTTAAATAACAGCAATTATCTCCAAAACGTGTATTAAACGACACATTATTTATAATCAATTTTTTAAATTGAGCAGAAAAATGTGTCATAGGTAAAGGACCTTCATGATGTTCTAGTACCATTTGCAATTTTATTTTTTTTTGACAGTTTAGTTATCAATATATTTTGTGACTCATGAATACGCTTTACAAGTTGTGCTAATGGATAATGAGATTTTCTAACTAATCGTTTTAGATATTGCATGTAATTTTCAAAAGGAAATGCACTGTAAAGATCTAAAGGTCCAAAAACTTTGCAATCATCAACAACATGAATTAATCCATGTACATTGTGTGAAGTGTATTTTGCTCCATAAATGACTTTAAATTGTTTCACACAATATATTAATAATGAACATGCATATTCTTAATACTTTGTATATAAATTAGCATTAATTAAAATTCTAACAGCAATATGTAAAAATATAAAATGTAAGTATTTTGTGTCAGATGAAAGGATATTTTTTAAAACAACTGGACCACAATACAATAAAAAAAATCTAAATTCAGTTGCTTTCCAGCGTGCAACTTCATTTAAAGACCGGGTTTTTCTTACAAAATCAGGAGGAATACAAGATTTTATTTCAATGAGATAACTTGAAATAGATTGTATGTTGGTTTTTGATAATCTATGTGAAATAGGTCCAAAGAGCCATATATTTATTAGTTTTTTTACTACGCCAAGGCATATTAAATGCATGTCAAGAGGGAAACTTTTTACCATGTTAATCGAAGGTATTGTTTCTAAAATTGATGTTCCTGTATGATGTTCAGGTTGAACTCTATTACAAAAATTTTCATCCGTTCTTTCAAAATAATTTATTTCAAGATAACACACTCTGGCTTTTATATATTTTCCTCTTTGCATACATTTAGTACATGCAAAAAATCCAGTGTGACCTTTGCAAGAAGTAATGAGTGATTTTGCTGGAGCATCACATATAAATGCTTTAATTGCAAATGGTATAGCATGATTATTATAAATAAAACCATCTTCCGATAACTTTATAACTTCATCTGTAAAATCTTGTAAAAACAAATTTACATCATTAGGTTTTTCATAACCATGATAGATACCTATCACAGATACATATTGTGGATATTCAGATATTGAGCATAATATTGGATATATCTGACTACTGGAACTTTTGCTTAAAGGCAAACCATCAATATTAATAAACAAATTAATTTTTTCTGGCTGTTTTTCTAACAAATTAATTAAATTTTGAACTGCAAATTGAATTCCCATGTGTACATAAGTGCCTGAACCTACAGATTTGTAGGGTACATGTCGAGGAGTACAAAGTAAAGTTCTGGGATCTTGAGGCAAAGAAATATTTGTTTCTAATTTTAATAAATTTAATAAACTTCGTAAGGCGTTATGTGAAATATTATATGATATTGCCCATGTGATCGTAATTTATTAATAAAATTATTACTTTGATTATGTAAATTTTGATTTTCTATATTTTGTTGTGATATTGGAGTATCATTTTTAATAACATTATCAGAGTTATCAGAAGATAGGCTATATAAGTCATGTAAAACATTAAAGCAATCTGTATTAAAACAGTCCTCTGTTTTATAAGTACTATTACATTGGAAATCTGTATTTTTTGTAATTAAAACATTATCATTTATACAATCAGATTTAGAATTATTACAATTCTCCTGTGATAATGTAAAACATGTTGCGCTTTCTCTTTTAACATTTCTATAAAAAGTCGCTTTACTACGACGTTTCATTATATTTGTTCTTGGAAAAATTAATGTGGGATTCTTAATGATAAATTAATTGTTAAAAGAGCTTGTAAGAAATCAAGGGTTAGAAAATCTATCACTGTAAACAAATAATACAACGTGAGGAAATGATAATAATATTTATTGTTTTTGATAACAATTAATATATACTTACCTTCTCAATAAGAGCTTCTTTTTCTGTACAAGCTTACACACTTTTTATTTATCGTACACTATATACTATGAACGGACTCAACGGACTGTATGTACTTATTAATAAAAGCGGAAAAAAGATAATAAATGATTTCTGAACGCCATCTACATCTTAAATACATTTGAATATTCTGTGAACATTTATGGAATATAAACAATATATTCTTATAGCTGATTTTAACATGTTCTAGGTAGATTTATAGATTATTCTTTATAAACAAGGATATTCTATAGAGATGTATAGATGATTTCTTTGAGAATATTCTCAAAAAAATATTTTTGATGCTACATAGAATATTCATGCAATATTGTGTTATCTGGGATGAGACTGATGATGCTGAAAAAGAAAATAATCCAGTAAATGCAATATTAAAAAATAATAATAAAGATAAATTTTATTAATATATTTATATTTATTTTTAGACCCACCTCTCTCTCTCTCTCTGTGTGTGTGTGTGTGTGTGCGTGTGTGTTGCGTAGTATCTTAAGCATATTAACAATTTGTATTGTATTGATGGAACCGGCAGACCACGTTAATTTTTGCTAATCATTCTTCAATTTTTGGTAATATTCCATATAGGAGGAATCCTTATTAATCTATAGCGTCTTTTAAATTGTAAATTATTATAAAAGGGTTTTAAAGTCCATCACGAATGTATCGTTTTCGTACACGTTCTCTACTTGAAAATCACGATCAATTAATATTTTCAATATCATCAATTTCTTCCATTAATTCCATAATCATTAATAATAAGCTTATCTTAAAGTCATGTACGACTGACTTGAAAACATAACCTTACTTTCTAACAGAGAGAAGGATGAGAGTGGTCATCCCCTCGATTTAGCTGCAACCGGAATTCAAAGCGCCTCTATGTGCACAAAACGTGCACATTGAATTACGTAGCCATTTAACCACGGTACGTGGTTCGATTCCGTGCTATGTGCACAGATGAGCGCCGGTAACACGTAGCTGTTAAAGGAGATGAGTTCGAGATCTTGCAGGGCCTTTTCTTTTTTTTTTTTTTTTTTTGTACGACTATATTTGTCAATTTAATGAAATCCTTTTAATTATTGTGGAATAAAGAGATAAAATGCATTTCTCAAGCGTACGCGAGAAAATCGAAATTAAAAATACTGAGTGCCATATAAATACGTATGGAATAGAGCGTTATATCGAAGAGCGTGTGGCGTAGCGTTAAGGGGTTAGACCACGTACCGTCGAGGTTAGAAGTTCGATTCTCAAGGAGTAACTTTTTTTTTTAATATTTTTTTATTTTAAATAAATTTTTTTTTACCATAAAATGTAATTCTTACACAAAATAAATGTAAATAACACGATTTATTTACTTATAACACGTATATTACAAAAATGCATTTTTCTTTGCCTCAAAAGGCTGTGAAAAGCCGTCTGTAGAATAGCTGTATGCGATAGGAACTTGTATGATTATCTGTTTAATTAAAAATTATCCGATTTATGTCGTGTTTGGTGTCGTTGAAATCGCAAAAATCTCAATAATCCATTAATATTATTTTTGAATAGATAAAATGCGAAATAAAGGTTTTAGTTTTTCACTTATAAGATGTTTATATTTGTGAATTGCCGTGGATGGGGAAGCCTATTGTTCGAGAGTTTGGAACGTTCTTTGATCTCAATACTCGGGCGCTCGGGCCCGCTTAT